AAGGTCAGGGAAAAGACCATATGTATGCACTTCCAGTTCAGCTAACTTGGATAGTAAATTATGTACTTTGGTGTAGATAAATGCAAGGGACGTACTTATTGCGGGTTTCGTTACGGTCCATTTTGAGTCTCCGTGTAAGGACCAAATACGTTTTCATTTGAATGGGTTCTGTCCAACGAGTACGGGGAGGATGCCACCTTACCTGGTCTCTGTACATCATTAACTTTTTCTACCCATGCTGTGATTTTGTTCTCATTTAGGGAACTAACTGTCAATGATTCCTCCTCTTTATCTGCTTAAAAAACGCTGCAATTGTTGTCCTTGATTCTGAATTGAAGTAAAGGAACATGCCTGGCATGTTCGTGGTGGACTAACACTGATATGAGTGCTCAGGAACTTAGAAGCTCTGATACGTCAATTGAGTTCCATCCACGTGTAAAGATCGTCAGCACTGAAGCCCCCTCTGTGGGCCGCAGAAGTCCCTTGGTCCCTTGTATATACAATTAATTTATTTAATAAAACCCCGTTGTGCAACTCTACCTTTGTAGCGGTCGAAGACATTGAGTTTGGCGTACACACAAATGAACAATTCACATGTAGCAACTCTCCAGTTATGTAACACGGGACGTACCCACTAATCACCACACACGCGTAAAGAGACGACGAAGTATAACGGGCTGGTAACGTAAAAGTTCTGTTGATGTAAAGCAATAAGCAAACAGTTGAAGTAAAAAGGTAACGAAACAAGAAACGAATAAGGTCATGTGCAGTCGACCCATTTGGAATGAAGTCTGGGAAAAAAATACTAGATAGATACCGGTGGGGAATGCAGCACTGTCGGCCACTATGGGTGAGGGCCGCGGATGTGCTGACGGTAGGTGACATGCGGAACGATGCCGTAACGGTAGTGGGGAAGCAAAGTCAGTGGTAGGGAGGAAATAACACCGGCCATCTTCGCCGAAAAACAATAAGATAATCCGTATCCTGGATCCGCACAAAAATATCCTTGGCTCATTCAAACGACTGTCGGATCTGTAGTTTGTTATACCGGGACAAGTGAAGTGGATGCCCTGATTAGAAACATTTAGCTTTTTAAACGAATAAAAGCTATAATGGGGGCATAATTCGTCGGTTGCAGCAACTATTTCCTATCGCAAAATTCTACTTAAACAAAAGGAATAAATATTACCCCAAAATCTTAATTTACAAGTGCGCTGAAGAACATCTGGATAAATACGTCCTCCAAAGGAAGGGCCAATTACATAAAAAATGTAATGTCATCACAATTGCTATATTGCAAACTCACTTTTCTGCATGAAAAAAATAAATAGAGAACGGGAGTGACTACACATAGCAAAACGAAAGCAGAGTAAAAAGAAGAGTAGGAATTATTGTGGAGTGAGGAGTTGTTCCAGTGTAGGCGTCACACAGGGTGAGACTTATGTACTCATATGCACAGCATCTACCCAATAAAGTAAACAGGCCCAATATCATTTCTTTTCCAAAACAGCACCTTTCTGAAATAATGAATAATAAGCGCACATCAGCGGCCATCGTAATTTCAAAAGTGGCAGCAAATTTCACGGAGCCATTGTCTCCGTTACTAGCAACTTAGCTATCATCACAGAAGAGCAGTGTCGGGCGCTGGTAATGGAATTTGTAGTTTCGACCACTAAGTACGTCCGGTCACTAATATTTGCGAGTGCTCAACGTCTTCATAACAAGATGACTTTAATCAACGTCTTTCTTCAAAAGGAATCCTTCAAAACCTCGGTCAGAATGTATTCATTGTTGCAGAATCGAGCGCTTTTAATATTCTCGGGCAGGTTAGAACTATGTCGGATATAAGGCTACATACGGCAAAGTTATTTATTCTGATCTTAAACTTCCTGCAATCTGATAACCAAGAGGAGTGACCCTAAAATGGGCGATGCGGGAACCTCAGTGGGCCGAAACGGATTTTAAATTAGGGCTACGTACGTGTTCTTTAGGCTGCGCACTCATGTGTTTGTATGTCTAGGTACAGACTCATGCCACTCGGCTGATTGCGCCTGATACTCGCATCATGTAACTGACCGGCTCGGCCAGTGGGCTGGTGACTAAAGGAGAGGAGAGACGTAGAGTCAGAATCTTATATTTCTTATATATAAGAAATATAAGTCTATAGACTCTAATTACCTCCCACTTATAGATACCTCATCGCCATTTGAATCCCTGAAAATGTTTGATGCTCCCTCATTCGAAAACGCTTCTACATTTAGTTACAATTTATCTACAGCGGACGGTGGCTTGTTTTCTTTCGTTTTAATGGCGAATTCAGATTGACAATTCTTGTAACCAACGAACTGAGCGTAGTTCACTATTCGTTTACGGTCCCCCATAATGTGGTTGTGCACGGTATTGTCGATATTTGCGCTCAAATCCTGGAGACATCTCCCTTCTAGATGTTCTTTTCAGTGGTTTCTGTGAGTCAGACTGAAAGAACATGGAATACTCAAATGGTAGTACCATATGATCACTAGCACCTATAGACAGGAGCTCTTGTAGCTCAAGTACACATTTAATCTCGGATGAACACAAGGTAGAAACAGTAAGAAGACTCACGACTCTGACTGTAATCTTTTATATAAAGGAGGAACAGAATGGAGCCTAAGACTGAGACCTGCAGAACCCCCACTGTTACCTTTTCGGATTTCGTGATAGCAACAATTATTTTTCAGTCGATGAGAGAAAAGCAAAGAAGGTGGAGGAATCCATCTCATGATTTTGACGGAGAATGACATACAATTTACCTGCTCACTGTTCAATCTATTGAGCCGGGAAGGAGGAATCCGCCATTTTACGTCAACACTTTTTTCTATCCTCACTATTACAGTTAAGTAAAATTGTTTGTTAATACTCTCAACAGAACAAGGAAAGAGATGTACAATGGGAGCTTTAAAAAGACAACTTCACCACCTTTTTTCTTCTCTAGAGAATGCCCCCGAAATGTCATACCGATGGCCGAACATTAGCTAAGCTGTTTTGTGCCCGACAGCCTGATGTACATTGGAGTGCCTCCCAATCCCAATTACGAGATTTGTCATCGCCAAAACGTTATTCTCACAAACGAGAAGAGATACCTTCACATAACTGAGATATCAGGAAAGGTAGGGGTGTTGTCTTTGATTTCAACTTTTCAAAACAGGAGATATTACGCACATCAGAATACGAGCAGATTCATGGCGCTAATTAAAACGAAAGCTTAACCATGCTCCGAGCAGCAGGCCTAGGAGGAAGCGATACATGCCTATTAATTCAGGTAGCCTATTAGCGTGCACTAGAGTATCGGGCGCACGTAATGCTCTTGCCCATGACTGTGGCGGATCAAACATGATGGATTTTCCTGCGGGGGAATTTCGCACATGAAACGGACAATTACCGATCGGTACGGCGTAGGACGAAATTTCAACAAGCTTTGGATGAAAAGCAGCCCCATGTATTTGCAATTCGAGAAGAAATTTTTTGTTTGTGAACCGCCACTTTTTTTCCAAACTACACGTTGGTGTGTAAAAACTACGGAAGCCAGAGTTGTAAAGGATCAAATAGCCCACTCGCCAAATTTGTAATCAGGTTGCAGGTTTCCTAAAGGCTTATAAATAAACCATTTGTTAACCTTTACGTGTTTAAATGAATATTCTTAAGAAGAAACATCAATCGTTTTGGGAATAACGGATAGTAATAAAGCCGTGTTACTATCTGGACTTATTTCCTTCGAACATCTGGGGAAGATGTCAGCTCGCTGCTAAAACACTATGCGAGAAATAGCTAAGTGGCATGGGTATTTCTGTAGGGTAAAATTCCTATTCGAACTACAACAAAGCATGTTACTTAGCATCGAATGCGGCCATGAGCACCCGGATCCCTTCCTTGTTCGAAATAACCAAAAATTGATTTTTCTTCTGGGATTAAAATGCGGGTCTATTAAGTCTGTAGCTATAAAGTAGAAGGATGGATTTTTTTGACCTTACCAATTATAATACACTCGAAGAGACAGCATTCATAAAACATGTTTGCTCCCGTCTCGAATTACCACCCGCAGAACTACATAAAAGGCTGAAAAATGACTGCATCGAGCGGAATTTCACTTCAGATTTATGCACACAAATCAAATCACTTTTCTGTTACAACTGTTTTACGGGCAGTCCACCCATGTTAAGGAAATCCAAAATGACATTCTATACAAGACTGTTGGAACTTCTTGTCGCTGGCCCGAAAGGTCTGGATGACCTAAGTCTTCTTCGTACGTTCCATAAAGTATTTTAAGTAAAAACTTAGTGAGGGAATACGACTATTCTGCTCGGTGTAGCCTCGTCTGGACGGGGGATTACTTCGCCTACAGATGTCGGACCTGTGGGCTTACGCCTAGCATGTCTCTCTGTGGCCGATGCTTTGCTACTGGAAACCACGAGGGTCACGATTTCAATAAATTCAAAAGCCTCTGTGGTGGTGCTTGCGACTGCGGTGACGCAGCAGTAATTCGTCCATCCGGGTAATTTTTATGTATTGGAGGTTGCTAATTTTTTAATATCATTTCACCAGCTAATTGTTGCGCATTTACTACTATAATAACTGACTTTTGTGGCATTGTCATCATAGCGTAGTCGAGGCATTAGTGAAATAAGTTAAATATTGGTATCAAAAAAGTCTCGTTTTTCCTGTGTAATGTGTTCCCCCTTTTGTTAAAAGTTGAGTCCTTCTCCGCAAGAAAGTTGCAGTTACGTGACCGGGCGCTTTTGCTTCACCGTGTCACTTTTCATTGACTTGACAGGGCAGTTTCCTTGTGATTAAGATCGAGGAGATCAGAAGAGTAAAGGAAGAAAAAGTGCCTCGGAAAACGAGAAGTAGCATGATTATTTAGTCGGGGCTTTTGTCTTCTGCCCGAACGAACCTTGTCTCATGTAATTTCAGATATGACTTGACAGTCACCATT